GCATGAACAGCAAATAACTTGTCTTTTTAAACTCATAAGTAGATCAACTTCAAGAGGAGTCGCATCAGAATTCAGAGAACTACTTTGTATCACCCCCCAACTTACAGACTATCATGCAATTCCAGGATGCTGTGACTGGGCAGGAGTTTGAGGTGATCTCCTTTAGGGGAGGGACGAGTCTAACTACCTGTGAAGGGAGTGAGCCAATCATCTGATACTCAGAGGGGCCGACCACAATTATCATCAGTGCTGCTGGCCACGTATGTTTGGTTTTCTTTCTTCCAGGTCCCAGGAGTTGGGTGGCCACTCCTGGGTGGGACCAGATGACTGACAGGGCCAGTGAATATGGCAGCATGAATGGAAATGGTGTGTGCTACTTCCAGGCAAAAGCCTGGTGTGGCTCCATACTGGAGCTCTTGTTCCCTCTGTTACTCTGACCAGTGAAAGTCTCTGAGGGAAAATGAGTCAGGATGGGACCTCCAGCTAGATCCTCCACAGCATGGAGTGAGTGAGAAATAAACCTTTGGTTTGAGGTGTTAAGCCACTGAGATTTGAGAATAGTCTTGCCTCTACTGCCTAATATAAAACTCACTGTCATTGAGTCAACTCAGACTCACTGTAGCCCTGTAAGGCATATAGGAAGCCCTATAGGGTTTCCAAGGCTGTACATCTCTCTGGGAGCAGAGAGCCTCGTCATTCACCCTTGGAGTAACTGCTGGGTTTGAAGAGTTAGCAGCTCATACCTCCTAATGCACTTGACTAATATACCCTCTGTCAAATTCTTGGTCCCCGCCCCCTTTTTTTCTAACAATTTTACTGTGTTTTAGGTGAAACACACAGAAGATTAGCTTTCCATTCAACAATTTATATGTAAAGTGTCCCGTGACAATGGTTGCTGTCCTGGCAGTGATACGCTCTTTAATGAATGGGCTTTCTTCTACTTTTCCCCTCCCTTTTGAACTAGGACCTTCTACTGTGTCCCTGGTTAGAGCCATACTTAGTGGTGGCTGGACACTAGTCATTTCTTCTGATCCAAGGCTAAGAGCCCTAACTAAAAGGGTAGCAGTTTGAAACCACTAGCTGCTCTGAGGGAGAAATATGAGCCTTTCTACTCCTGCAAAAAGTTACAGGGTCACTGAGTCAGAATGGGCTTAATGGCAGTGAGAAAAAGACAGTCTTGGAGCCCACAGGGGCAGTTCTACCCTGCCCTACAGGGCTGTTCTCAGTTGGAACTGACTTAACGGCAGTGAGTTTGAGTGTTTTGACAGCTAGACGAGGCTGTGGTTTCTGGGGGCCATTCGTGCCACGGGCTAATGACCTCACTGAGTCTCTGGGTTCCTTCACTGTTCGTTTCAGGCAGGTATGTAAGCGTTTAAGACCCTGTGTTGCTACTCCCTGGACTAAGCGCTGCAGAATGGTTCCTTTCTGAACTCTGTTTGCCAGTTGACCTAAGGCTGTGATCTCTAACCTTCAAGCCCTATAACTCAGTCCCAGGACATGTCTGGATATACTTACAACCTGTTCATAACTGGGCCTCTGGGTGTTAGCTGGCTTTTTTCCCATGGAGCCTTCCCTCTCATGTCGAGCCAGATAAAGGGAATGCTGCTATTACTGATAAACATTTGGTAAACGAGTTGCCAAGAGGTGACCAACTCGTGGTAATTCTATCTGCTGCACAGAACTGTGCTCCATATGGTTTTCTTTGTGTGTGTGTGTATTAATTTAATTTTATTTTTAATCGTTTTATAAGGGGCTCATACAACTCTTATCACAATCCATACATACATCAATTGTGTAAAGCACATTTGTACATTCATTGCCCTCATCATTCTCATGGCAAGTGGATTGCCACGCCTTTTCTTCAAGACACCTCTGGGTAGGTTTGAACCGCCAAACTCTCAATTAAGTAATCTAGCATTTAACCATTGTAAGAGAGTGCTAATAAGAAGATGTGTAGTCCTATCCTGTTATATTTATTTCCACCTACAATTTTCTCTGGATACAAATCGAGATGGTTAATCAGTTAGGTAGCAGGAAGTTAATTTGTTTTCTACGAATATACTACTATTTATTTTCATAAATATGTTGTGGAAATTTAAAATTTATAAATTAATTTAAAATTGATATTGCAAGATTTTAAAACACAGGCAATTTCTCAAAGATCCTTTTTAGTACTAGTATACTATGTGAGGGGCACTCATATTTTCTGCAATAAGTTTCAGGAGTACACAGTGAACTCCAAATAACAAAGAAGGAAGTCATAATTGAAAAGAATGAAACTAAACAAAGTTCTCCTACTTATCAAAGAAACAATTTTAAAAGAGTTACAGGAACCACATGTGAGAAACATCTACTGGCAGTGGACTTCACAGTCTGTGGAACTAAATGTAAATTCTGAGGCTTTCAATCACCAGTCACAGAAATTTAAGATGTGTACCTGTTAAGACAAGACTCTAATGTGGCTATTTCTTTTTGTATGTGAACTGGGCATCCTAGTGTTCTGAGCTCTTTGGGCATGAACTGGACAGGTAAAAGTTACAGTCACACTGCCATACAAACAATTACTCAAATTCCGTCACTGTGGGGCTCCTAGACTGTTAACTCTGTAGGGGAAGAGACACTCTCAGCTTTCTTCATAGTAACAACTTCCTCAAGGTTCCACAATGTTGGAAGCTGTTGCATTTTTCTCTTACTGGGTAAAATGTTCATAATACCATGCAGGAACAGGATTGTGTGTATGTGTGAGTGACAGAGTGGGTGAGGGGAACACTGAGTGTTTATTCTATGGTAGTTTCTCCTCTATTTGCAGATAAACACATGGGCCACAGATGGGAGGGTGACAAGGTACCTTCATCATCACTCTTGTTGCCACTAGACAACAGAGCATATGTTCAAGCACACAAGTGCCCTCCTGTTAAACACACAACTTCCGCCTTGTGTGTACAAACAGCCCGGGTCTGGCTGAGTGGTGGGATGCCCAAGGGCTTTCCTCTTCCCAATGTCTTAGATTTATGAAATTTAAGATATATCTTGTTCTTTGCCCAGCAGCAAGTCCCTTTCTTTTGGTAAATGGATCATCTTTCTTGAAACTACCACTTGTGCTCTCACCTCATGTGCCCCGAGTGGCGCTGAGGCCACATCTAGACCTGGCCCATCAGAAGACTGCATTCTTTTTGAGCCACAGGGATGGGCTCGGATGTGGGTATAAACCCACCCAACTCACTGTCATCAAATTGATTCTGACTCATACATCGTTATGGGAGCAGACAACCTCCTCTTTTGCCCAGTCAGTGGCTTGTGGGTTTGAACGGTCAATCTCGTGGTCCAATACTTGACAGACATGAGTCTAGGAACCAATTAGTATGTGGGGATGTGTGAATGAAGGCCCACTCTTCCCTAGGATTTGAATCCAGGGAGATGTAAAACCCAAGCTGCTGGCCGCCATCTTGCTGACATGGGATACTGAGAGTATAGCTAACACGGAGGAAAGCACCCCCCAGAAGGGGAAGGACCTGATCTCAGGAGCACTGTTCATGCCTCTCAATTGAAGGCTTGCCTGAGGTCAGACTAAATCCTGCCCCTTCAGTTTCATGAGCCAACAAATTCCCCATTTTGCTAGGCCAGTCTAAGTTAGTTTTCTGTTAGAGAGTCCCAACAGATGGAGTGATAATGGGTTTCTTACTTGGAGCCGTTTACTAATTTGTAACGCGGAAACAGACTAAGTGATCACTGAATTTTGTCTGGTTTTCACATTCCATAATCTTAAACTCACACCCTTCTAAAACCATAATTTTAGCAGCATAAAACACAAATGTTGAAACCCTGTAAACTATAAGAACTATTTACGGATCATAACCTTGAAGAAAAGTGGTAAATGTAAAAACTCAAAAGGGTTTCTATTAATGCTGTAAAGTGACCCATAATCATTACACACAGCGATCCGCTATTAAATATGCAAAGGAATTGGAGCCATGGTTTCTTTCAAATTTAATGCGTACAGGGTTTCCTTAGTTTGCCTTTGAATTACATGGTAATGCTGTGTTAGCAGGGGCACTTACACTGCTGATGGTTGAATTTGTAGGTAGGTTGGAACGGGAGTCTATGGTTCTTATTTAGCCCTCCTTTAGTGCAACTGGCAGAATCCTGGTGGTGAGGTGGGTTAAGCACTGGGCAGCTAACTGCAAAGTCAGCAGTTGAAACCCACCAGTCATTCCACAAGAGAAATATGAGGTTGTCTGTCTCATAAAGGTTTGTCATCTCAGAAAACATAAGATGCAGTGTTACTCTGTTCTATTGGATCACTGAGTCAGGACTGACTCCATGGCTTTTGCTTTCAGTGCAAGAGAGTAAGTCTTGATTGTTCAGTGGTCCATGTGCTCGGGTGATAACTGGAAGGTCAATGGTTGGAACGTACCAACTGTCCCAAGGGAAAAACACAATCTGCCTGCTTCAGGAAAGATCTGCCCACTGGGTAGTTTGTGCTGTATCTTACAGGATCATCCGAGGTCATACTGGACTGCACTGTATGTCGTGGGGAGTTAGTGCAAGAAGGCTTGAGATTTGTTCAATAATTTAAAAACTGCAAATGTAACAAGTAAGGTGATTGTGATGAGAGATACTTTGCCAAGTAGAATCTCAGTTGCCTTGTCTCAAAGTGTGGGAAATTAACACAACATTAAAGGGCAAGTAAACTCGGGGAAAATCAATTTGAAGTTGGTAATGGGAGACTCTCACTGAAATAAAAACCACAGATTCCTATACCCTTTGGTATATTAGTTACACTTTATCCTAAAGAAATAATTAGCATACACCCAAAAGTATAGCCTAAATTTAAAAGAAAATTATGGCAGTTTTGAAAAACTTACTTCCCAACAATAGTGGTCTGGTTAGAGAGATGATTATCACTGACACATGGAAAAGGACACTGCTATTACAGTAATTCTGTAGGATGACATTTGCTGATGAGAGGAGGGCACTTATGTATTTGTCGGGTGACTAACGGGTATGTTTCACATGGTTTTGATTTTGTTTAAAAATTAAATGGCAACTGCATGCAAGAGCAACTTGGAGAGAATGACCGCTCAGGCCAGCAAAGTCTCTGCAGCTGCCACCTGCCTTTCTATCACATTCTCCAGGATCTGGACAAGGAAGCCGCCTACCTAGGTCCAGTTTTCCATCAGTCTCCATGTCGATCTGTGGCTCGTAAAATAGCCTTGTAAAGTGATGACGCACAAAAGATCTAGAGTTTTGAGCACTGAAGCACTATGGGAAGAAAGAACTTCAAGCAGGTCGTTTCATATGCAGCAGAAAAGTTTTAAACTGTACCTGGCTTAATAAAAAGACTTGTGGGAGTGGGAAATAAATATTAAATGGCAATATGGACACAGAAATCAAGGCTAGAAATTTCAAGTCAAAATGTTAATAGCAGTTTTCTCAGGATTGTGGATTTGGAGGATGTGTTTCTTCTTATGACGCCTTTTAACATAAAAAAATGTTTTTTTATTATAATTAATAATAATCTATTTTAAATAATTGTTTTATTTTTTAATAATCAGTGTCTTATCTTTCTAGTCAGAAAAATAAATTACTTCACTGTAATGATGTAAAGAACATTAAGTGGTTTTAACTTGACTTCAGTGAGTAGGCAAGTCGATCTGTGTTCCTGCCCAAGGAATCTCAAAACCCCAAACCACCTCACTCACTGCCACTGAGTCGATGGGGACTTACAGTGACACAGGGTGGAGCTGCCCCTGTGAGTTTCTGGGACTGTAACTCTTTACAGGAGTAGAAACCCCCGTCTTTCTCCCACTGAATGGCTGGTGGACTCGAATTGCTGACTTTATAGATAGCAGTCCAATGTGTAAGTAACCATGACACCACCAGGGGCTCCTCACCGGAGAACAGTACGGCTTTATTCTATGGACTTTATTCGCCAACTCAACTATCTCTTCCCTTCTTACCCAACCCACCCATTTCTACTCATATTAAGCTATGGAAGGGTAGAAGGCATAACTCATCAAGAATGACAGGGGAAGTCAGACACCCACGGCAGAATTGCTCAACCAGCTAGATTTTCGACATCACAAGGGCTCCTTGAGGTAAGAATTGGGGTGAGAAGTGATCTGAGGTTTACCTATCCACCTACACTTATGTAAGAGCAAAACCGTATGTTAAACTTGGCCGTTCAAAACACAGCTAAGTTGGGGTGGGGTGGGGGTTTGCAGGAAAAGATCACGGTGGGAAAAACCATGTCCCTGTGAGAATAATCTTTCCCCCCCTGACACGGTACCAGGTTCCAATCAGTTTTCTTCTTCTGTCCTGGACAAGGGTGACAAGAAAGGGGTTGATCACATCCTCCTATGTAAGCTGGCAAAGAGAATAACAAAGATTCTGTTTGGAACGTCCAAGTCAGGTTGAAATATTACCAATTCAAACCCACTTGCATCTCACCACTTCAGTCCTACAGGTTGATATCGGTTAGGCACTGTGCTTAGCGCCTGTGATAGTTTTAGGAGTTCATGATAATATTTTGATTTATTTTACAATCAAAAGAGATAATGATAAAAAAGATGGAAAATCAAAGGATAGCGTGCGCGCGCATGCACACACACACACACACACACACACACACACACACACACACACACACCTTCCAGGCAATGGCAACCATGAAAAAGGAGGAGTGGCAATATTAATCTCTGGGAAGTAGACTTCAAGGTAATATAAAACAGATTACATTAGGCCACAAAGCAAGCCCCCACAAATTAAAAAACAACAACAGTGAGATCCTGCCATCTATTTTCTCAGATCACAATGCCATAAAACTAGAAATCAACACTAGAAAGAACAGGTACAGAAACACAGACACAGAGTCTGAATGACATACTACTTAACTACAACTGAGTTACTGATCAAATAAGGGTGAAATTAAGAAATTCCTTGAAACAAATGAGAACTATAACACATCAGAGCAAAACATTTGGGGCGGAGCAAAAGCAATGATCAGAAGTCAATTTCTAGCCATCAACGCACACTTGAAAAAAGAGGAGAAATCCAAAATCAACACCTTTTAACATGACACCTCCAACAACTAGAACAAGGGCAACAAAAACCATCCAGCAATTTAAAAGAAATCATAGAGATTAGAGGAGAAATAAACAAACTGGAAAACAGAAAACCAATGGAAAAAAAATAAGACAAGAAGCTGGTTTTTGAAAGGGTTAACAAAATGGACAAACCTCTGGCAAACTTTACAAAGGAACAGAAGAGGCAAACATCTAGAATCAGAGATCAAACGGTGACATCGGAACAGATCCAAATGAAATGGAAAGAGTAACACAGAAAGACTGTCTTCCAGCAAATCTGATAATCTTGACGAAATAGACCATTACCTAGAAATATACCATCTACACAAATTAACGCAGACAGATGTAGAAAACCTAAACAGATCTATAACAAAAGAAACAAAAAGGTTTTCAAGAACCTTTCAACCAAGAAAAGCCCAAGACTAAATGGCTTTATAGGGAAATTTTACCAAGTGAAGAGCTGTCACCAATTCTATGCAGACTGTTCCAGCACACAGAATAGGCAGAAAACCCCCAAACCCATTCAACGAAGCCAGCATAGTCCTGACACCAACAGGCAAAGAGCCCACAGGGACAAAATATTACGGATCAGGATTCCCCGTGAACACAGACTAAACAATGCTCAACAAAATTCTGGCCAATATAATCGAAAAATACACAAAAAAGATAGACAAAAATCTACCATATATACTTGTGTATAAGCCGAGTTTTTCAGCACATTAAAAAAATCATTTTATTAGGGGCACATACAACTCTTCACAATCCGTACATATATCATTTGTGTCCAGCACATTCGTACATGTTGCCATCATCATTCTCAAAACACTGGCTTGAGCCCTTGGTATCAGCTCATTTTTTTCATTCCCTCCCTTCAGCACATTTTTAATGCAGTTTTTGTGGCAAAATTAGGTGCCTCGGGTGATATTCGGGTCAGCTTATACTTGAGTATATATGGTAGTTTGCATTTGCAATTGTAATGAATTTCTATGATTTAAGATTGCATTTCCTTGAAGCAATTTTAATTTTAGCATGTAGCAGAACTAAATTTTAAAGTTGACAGTTGGATTATATTAATTTTGAAAAACACTTTATAAATGCCACTCTATTTTCCCCAAGTTTGCCGAATCATAAAAAAACGACTTAGGAACTTTGTTAAAAAAATGCAAACTCCTGGGCAGAGTTCTTGCCTAACAATTTTGGTTCTAAGAGACTGGTGAAGTGCCCCAGTTTTTATTAAGTTTCTAATAAGCACCCCCTGAAATTCTTATTGGAGAAGTTCAGAACTTGTCCTCGTTGAAACAAAACAAATGGGCCACATATTAAAAAGTATAGAAAGTGGTCCTTAAACACTCTTCGGGATGGAATTGAGCTCACCCATCATGGAGCAACTTTCAGCCAAACAACAAACAGGTCGATGCGGTGAACAATAATACCTGGGAGGTACACATCCCCTAACCATGTGAGATGTCAAGGGCAGCAGCTGCCCAGGGATAAAGCTCAGAGAGCAGGAATGGATGGAAAAGAAGGACGAATGGAAACAGAAAGCATGGGAAAGTAGGGAGCGGGCAGTGTTGCTACATTGTGGGGACTGCAGTTAACACCATGAAAGTTTGTGTGAACTGTTGAATGGAAAACCAGCTTGCTCTTTCTTAACCTGTTACTCAAATCACAATAAAAACGATTTTGTTTGTTTTGTGTTTTTAAGGTGCCACAAAGCACTTAAAAAAAAAGTCTGAGAAATCCGAGTCTGAACGGACTGTCCTTCTTGCCTGTAATTGTGAGGGCAGGGATATGAGGCTGAGAATAGAGGGCAATAACCTGTAATGGCCTGGCAAACTGTTCCTGTTCCCAGGAGCCTGAACACTGCTAATTGTTTGTTAATGAAATTATTTGTGGGAAATTTATGAGTATCATAGGTGATGTTCTCATTTCAGATACAGTTTTTAAAGTTCCAAGTGTTACCCATCCATGTCTAACGCTATGGCTACTGATTGAGAAATGTCCCACGTAAAATTACATTTCACAAACGGGCTCTTCTCTCCTGATGACTGCTATGGTAAAGGCAAGCATGCATTCCTTCATTAAGTAGTTGGCAGCAGTACTCACAGTGAGGCAACCCAGGTGGCTGACCTTGACATACATAGATAATTACGTAAAACCACAACACACGCACATACCAACATCAAAGCAATGTAACTTTCATAGAAAACCATGAACGAGGTGCTATTTGAGCAACCCCAGTGGGTACAGACATAACTTGTTTTCTCAAAAATAAGACAGTGTCTTATATTAATATTTGCTCCCAAAGATGCACTAGGTCTTATTTTCAGGTGATATCTTATTTTTCCATGAAGAAGAATATGGTACACATTTATTGTTTATTGTTTTATTAAAAGAGACCTCACACTTCCTGTCTGCTCCAGCTGCCCTGCTGCCAACAGTGAGCTGCGCAGCACCCGCTGCTACGGTCGAGTCCAGAGTTACGGTAGCTTCGGGGGGCCTTATTTTCAGTAGGGATGCCTTATATTTCAGTGAGAGGCAAAACTGTAAGTAGGTCTTATTTTCGGGTGATGTCTTACATTCGGGGAAACGTGGTAGATTTAGCTTGGATCTGGGCCAAACAGAAGAATGACCGAGATCAGTGGTTCTCAACCTTCCTAATGCAGCGACCCTTTAATACAGTTCCTCATGTTGTGGTGACCCCCAACCATAAAATTATTTTCATTGGTCCTTCGTAACTATAATTTTACTACGGTTATAAATTGTAATATGAATATCTGATATGCAGGATGTATTTTCATTGTTACAAATTTAACATAATTAAATCATAGTGATTAATCTCAAAAACAATATGTCCTTATATATTGTGAAATATTTATTTCTAATTACAAATAAATGAAATTTTGTCTTGAAGCATGGTGTACCATGGGTTAACAGTCTTCACACTGGGTACTCATATGTGGGCGTATCTACATGTGGGCAGACCTGCCTGGAGACGGATAGAGCAGCAGTGTCTCGGTTCCTAGGACCATTAGAAATATGT